TTGCGAAGCAAATGGGATTCGCTCAAAAAATCGACTAAAAAAGAATATGCTGAGCTTAGGAGCCAAGTATATAAAACTGGTGGCGGTCCACTCCCAGATTTGAACTTGACAGGTTTAGGGAAAAGAGTGCTCAATTTAGTTGGTGTCTCTGCTAAGGGTACTGAATGTGAATTTGATTCGGATGCTGGTAAGTGTAGTTTTACGACATTGTAGGTTTAACTTAAATTTCAATTAACACATAGTTTTCTGTTATAGCTTCTGTTACCCCAAGTGAATTGGAATCAACAGGAACAAATGTGGAAGGATGTTCTGCTGAAGTTGAAGAAATTCCCATTGCAGATTCGGTAAGTCACTTTTGGTTTTGCAAAGCCTAGTTTATCTTTTGACATTGATATGGTGCAGGCTGAGATCAAATGGGACACTTGGAGTCCAGCCCTATTGAGGCAATCAAAACATCCGGCCTTGATGTTAATGCAATGCCTTCAAACCATTCGGCAGAAATTGTAGATGAGAGTCTTCCTACTGTAACGCCCAGTGAGTATTTGCAATATTACTATACGAAACGAAATACTGAAATGCGACTATTACTTCTAGGTAAGCAGCTCCATTTTAGAAAAATGAAGGGGAAACCCGCAGAAACTGGAAGAAACGCACATATTTATGAAGAGCTGGTCCAAAAAAAATTGAATTTTTAGATTTTCAAAAAACTTTACTGCAAAAAGAAGCGCTACAAAAAGAAGAAAGGGAAAAGGAAATGCATGATCTAAAAATCATACATATGAAAGAGGAGCATGCTCTTAAATTGAAAGCGTTAGAATCCCAGATTTTAAATAAAACAACTTAATAATTTACGTTGTGCTTTATTATCCAATTATTCCTACAGTAAATGGGCAAAATGGTTATTTATAATTTTTGACCTCATTCTATTATTGATAGAAATATTTGAATCGGTTATCGATGACGGTAACTCATCTGCGCCAACATTTTCGAAATCCAATTCAATTGGTGGATCTCCATCCTTTTCTTCAATGCAAATGTTATGCAGAATGGCTGTAGCAACAATAATTATCTTTGATAACTCGGCGTTTACTCGCATTCCTAAGGACAATATGGGAAATCTTCTTTTCCACACACCGTAAGATCTTTCAACGCAGTTTCTGGTTCTTATGTATGATTTATTATAAAGTTTTTCAGCAGCTGTGAAAGGATCTGACAGTGGCGTAAGTAAATAGTTAGTGTTTCCATAGCCACTGTCACCCAAAATAACACAATTTGGGAATTCACCATTGAAAAATCTGCTCTTGATTCTGCTGTTATTGAAAATAGTTTGGTCATGGCATGAACCCGGCCACCTTGCCACTATGTCAATTATTTTCAATTGCGCATCGCAAATTGTCTGAACATTCCATGAAAAGTATCCTTTCCTATTACGGAACCGCTCAGCGTCTTCTCCTCCAGGAGACTGGATTTT